AGTGGAATCTGAGCAGAAGTGTTATGTGTCAGAAACATATAGTCCTTCTATGATCTCTCTTTCCCCATCCAATGGTTTGTGTTAGTATCCAGGACATCCTTGAAAGGCACATGTTGAAGATGGCAGAGCTGCTGAGCCTGGGTCCCTGAATAACAACTGTCCCTTCCACCCTCTGCTCTGTTAACCAGTAATATCTACTGTATTGGACTATTACATGAGCAAAAATATTATTTTTATGAAAGCCAGTGAAGTTGTGGGGTTCTTCTGTTACAGTAGCTACCCAGTACCCTAACTAAAATTAATATATTTTTTTAATCAGAGAATAGAATTCAGATTTCTGTTATTCCCTGTGAAATCCCTATAAACACTTGTTCACTAACTCATGAACTTGTATTTTGCTACATTTCCCAATAACCTCCTTTGTGTCCCTTGATTTTCCTCTACTTTAAGGTTATGATAATTACTATCCTATATTTTTATTGATGGCATCCAAACAAAAGTGTCATAAAATCACCTTTATGGCACACTTATTTGCAGAATAAATAGATACCTAGCAAAAAAAAAAAGTTTAATGACTTCCCTCTTTTAAACTCTTCAAAGCACTCTCCATCTTCAAAAATATTTTTGAGGAAAATTTACATCTCTGGGAAAAGAGTGGTGGTCTGGAATTAATCAGAGAGGATTTATTGTCTCCTAAGAGTATAGCTCACACAAGGGCTTCCTTGCTGGTTGGCAACCCTCAGAGCTTTAACACTAAGGATAGTCCCTCAGGAACACTACAGGACCTGTTGTCTGGGCACTGGTCCCAAAATGTGGCCTAAAACACATGCCAAGAGCTCAGATCTCTTGTATTTCCCCACCACACAGAGGGTCTGAGGCCTTCACTCCTTACACATCCTTGATGTGGTTTCTCCAGGGGTGAGAAGTGGGAAAAACAATGCTTTTGAGAAAGGTATCTAGACAAATTATTTTGACAACTCCCTCCTCCACCCTAAGCTTTATACATTTGCTCTCCGTGCAATGTCAAGGTGTTGTTTCTGTTAATATTTCAAGTCTCAAATCTGAATCTAAATCTCAGAAGAAGGAAAGTTTTGCCAATTAAGCAGTCCCCATACCAAATGATAAATGCTCCAGCCGCTTTTTGGAAAAAATCCTGAAAGTAGAGTTGGTTACTAGAGTAAATCCCCATAGAAAAAGAAATAAATCTCTGTGACATCTGCTAATGTACACCATTTCCCTTAAACACCTCTTCCTGTCTACTTTCCACACCTCCTTCCCCCCTTTTTCTAATGCTCCTTTGTTTTGTGTTTTTTGGCCTTTAGGGGATGACTTAGGCAGCACATGGTACCAGGAAACCAAGGGTATTGCATCCAGCTGTGTGAAAGCATATTGCTGAATTAAAGTCCCTGGTCTAGGATCTGAAATAAAAATCAGTGTAAGCAAAAAGGTGGAAGCTTTTTGTTTAATGCCTCACTCATTCATGGGCTCAACAAGCATTTGCCATTCACTTACGGTGTTAGTATGGTTTAGAAATACCATAATAAAGAGAAATAAAAATAAAAGATATGTGGCCTTTGTTTCCCTAGCCAGATGCAAATTATATGCTTAAGGACCCCCAGAAAACTATACAGTAAAAACTTTAAGTAAAACATAAAGAATAAGAGATTCAAGTAGTTAGAAGAGATCCACATGTTGGAACACATGATGCACATATGTCAGGGAAAGTGTGCTCTTGTTTTATTTGTTTGTTTGTTTTGGGGGGAAGATTAACTGGTAGGATATTTGGCACGTAACATCTGAAGAGACACCCCTGGGCTACATGCCCCATGAGTCAGACTAATTATAGCCCAGAGTTCAGATTTGTTCTCCTCGTTTTTAGAGGTGGGTGGAGACCCTAGGGAGGATCTAGTGGAGGTCCACAGAGGTGACAGAGGCCTGCAAAAGAGAGCTCTGAAGGAGTTCATGGAAGCAACAGTAGGCCCCTCATAGCTGAATTCATGTTCAGCTCTACCATGGATCAAAGAGTGTTCCTAAAAAGAGTCCCAAAGGGACTGTCCAGACTGAACTTCCACTATGGGACTTCTACTCTTTTCTGGCTATTTTGATGTCAACGTGGACCAATCCAGAGCTGCCCACATGAGTCACCTTGAACTCCACCTGCTTTGCATTATTGCCTCTTGATTCTCTTCCTTGGAGGTTCTTCAGACATCTGGACTGCATTGTGGCATGACACACTTCTCATTTCCCCCACAAACATCCATGATTGAAGGCAGATGACACCCAACCTTAAGCTCACCTTTAGGAATCTGTGCTAAGCCTGGTTTAGCACAGCTAGGTTATAGTATGGATGTTATTCCTATCTTCTAACCCTATGGGTCATGGATTATTTTCTAGAACTCCAGCTGTTGTACATTGCCAGGGAGATCAGAACCAGATTTAAATGGTGTTTAAGTTAAACATCTAGATAATTAGACCCTGAACCCAACTATTAAAAAGAAAAGACACACCTTTAGAAGTCCTTAAGAATGACATAGACACTCATCTGTTTTGGATGTTTAAATGCAATTCTCCATAAAAGATGATTTCTTGATGTTTCCTCCAACAATGTAACTATATATTCCAAACTTATGGGTGCTGGCATTTCTCCTTTTACTTCCTTCTTTGTCCATGTGTTTGGGATCATGGGATTGCAAGGGAGGTGGAAAATCTGCAAATAAACTATAGCTACTGTATGGCTTTTTTTGTGGGGCTAGAAATGTCCCAGTAATTTTTAAATCTGATTAACTCGTGCTTCATTTAAATGCATTTTACTGGTTTGAGGTAGAATTCATTGGCTTGATTCTTTTGGCATCTTCTTCAGTGTCTTCTATCATCCTCATCATCGTCACCATTATGATCACTAAACTGGATTGAACTCTCCCTCTGTGGTGGGTTCTGTGCTAAGTACTTTACATATATCATCTCTTAGAAATCTCACAATGACTCTTTTTGGTAGATAGTATTAGTGTCCCCATCTTTCATATGAGGAAACTGAGACTGAGGGAGGCTATGTGCCTTGCCCACTGGTAATGATGGTATCTGTTTATTGGTCTAATGAATGACATCTGATAAAGAATCCCTTTTCTGACTTGGGGCTTCATATTTGTCGAGTGATTTTTACATTTCTTACATTCATTTCAAGTGAATGAAATACCCTTAGCCCTTTCTGTGTCTTTCTCTATGTTACTTTCTCCTCCCTGCTCTTAAGGCCTACTAGCCTTTCCTCTCCTTTTGCTCTCTTCTCTCTATCACGGTTTTATCCTCATCACCCTGTGTGGGGTTTCTAGACATCTTTCCTTCTATGCTTCTCTTCTTTCTGCCTATACAAAGTGTAGAGCATATGACATGGGTGCAGTGGAGCACTCTCTCACACAGGCCCACACTAGAGGGGCTTTTATGGATTTTCTTTATTTTTCTCTGTTTTCAGTTTCATTGATTTTTTAAAGTAAACTCTACCCCCAATGTGGAATTCAAACTCATGACCTCAAGATCAAGAGTTACGTGCTCTACCCAGTGAGCCAGCCAGGTGCCCCTAGAGGGTCTTTTATTTACAAGAAGTCTTAAGGGCTTTAATGACAAAGAGAGAACTTTTTCCTGCTCTCAGAAGCTATTGGGCAAGTTTCCAAACTCCCAATGAAGTAATTTATTTCACAGGAAAAAAATATCCAACTATCTGGAGCATTTTATGCATCTGACACCATCACATTAGTGGCATCAGATTACATATTCAGTAAGGACCTCTGCCACATGCTGTTGCAATTAACCACATGGGAATGTACAGGCCAGGACCCCTCATAATTATTCAATCAGTGCCATAGTACAACATACAGAGCAGTGAGAACTAAAAATGCCCTTGGAACAGAATGCTATATCTCATTAGGAAATGAAATTGTGACTTTCCTGGGAGTGACAGTTCTGGCAGGAAGAGATGGCCCAGATTTCTAGTTATCACCAGTTAACCACTACAGTCCTGCAGCTCTATGTTTAGGTTTTTGATAAAGAACCTCCAAGGAAACTTCAAGATGGTTTTGACTGAAGCATGGCATAAAACAGTGCCTGTATATTTTGGATGCCTGATCAGCCATGAGAATCCAGTTGAGGAATGAGTATAAGGAATTCATTAGTCCTTAACCCAGATGTTGCATTGAGATTAAGGGAGGTTGGTCAAATTGGAAATGTCTATGGTACCTTCCTCAAGACTCCTAAAATAGCACCTAAGAACTCTGCTTCTAGAACTTTCTCCCTACTTCCAACTTTTCAAGAGACCCCCTAACCCCTCAGGCTCCTCCCATGCTGCTAAGGGCTCCCAGCCATGTCTTTTCTTCCCTGCCCAGAGTTCCAGATCTGGACCTACTTTTCTCTCTGTCTCCTACCACCTGCACCTGTTGAGGGCCTCATTCCTAACATGTACTTCTGACTTAGTTTTGGAACTGCTGCTAATTAACTAGTGAAACAGAAATTTGACAGCATTATCTTTCCTATCTTCTATTTTAATTACAATGGTATAAATTGACTAATAACTCTGCTTAGTGGTATAATACTAGAAAGTAGAAAAATACAACAATAATTTAGAAATCCTGTAATGGAGTCCTCTGTCCTGTCTTGTGATCAGCTAAAGGCTTTGCATAGCTCTCAAAATATGTATGATTTTAGTACTGCAGCAAAAGTCTGTTCTGTGCAACCATTATATAATCAATGCCAGTTGTCAAATTGTAGGTTCGGGAGCAGGCATTGGTCATGAAGTGGTACAAGAATGACTGGGCCACTGTCTGCAATTAATACCCTCAGACTCCACACCACTACCACCTGAGAAGATTAGAATGAAACATACTCTTTCCTACTTGTCAGTAGATGTTCAAGTATCTTAGTAAGGGTATTATTTATATTATTTCCACCTACCTGTTGTATATTATGGAAACAGTGTTATATTTTCATGAAACCTCTTTTCTTTTTTCTTCTAGACCCAAAACGAAACCACATTTTCCAGCCTCCTCTGAAGTTGGTTGAAGCCATATGACTGAGTTATGGCCAATAGAATGTGAGCAGATATGATGTAAGGTAACTGCTAGACCTAGCCCCTAAACCTCCTGTGTATACCACCCCTTTCCTTTCTTATCCTCATTGGACTGTGATATGAGCAAGAAATGAACTCTCCTTATCTCAGACATCCCCCCCAAATACCAGTGGGTTGTTACAACAGTTATCCTGTTTAACAAATGTATTTCCTTTGTGTTCAGGAAAGTTCAGTGAGTACCAGCGAGATAATTGGTGCAGTCAATGCCAGAGCACAAATTTAAAAAATTAATTACCATGGGATTTGTTTGGCTTCAAGGTAAATGCCAATTACACCCTCAATTTGAAGTAGATTTTTAGCATATTGGTCTTGAGAAATATGTTTTTCTTACCATCTTCCTGTTTTCCTTCCTGAATAATAATAATGCCAAACATTCCTTGTGGGGCTGTGTTCTTTCCACCCACCTTTGTGGCCTGATGGGACCCCACTGCTCTGTGTAGGACATTCTACATCTACTCAGTGGTTTTCATCAGAGTGAATTCAAAGAAAAGGAATGTGGTGATGCAGGCAGTAAAGTAATTTCAGCCCCTCGGGTTCCTTGGCCTTTCACACAGAGCATATGTCTTCAGCCAAAGCACTTAGGATTCAGACCCTGTATGAGTGTACAGCGTATGGGAGGGAGGGAATGACTTAAAACAGATGAGGGTTTTAAGTTCAGCCTGTGCTCAACAGTTAAATTTAATTTAGAGACTTGCCAAAACCTTCCTGAAGTTACAAAAGGGCCATGAGAAATCAGCTTCTTTCTTTTGTGGTTGCAGATTTAATTCTGCAGTTCATGAAGCTGCGTCAAAGTGCTTGCAAAACGGTGCAAGCTGCCGCTGATGGAAATGAGGACGGGTTTTTCTTTGTTGTTAAATACCTACAGTGATGCCACAAACATTCAGCCCCCACTATTATGTTAGATGTGTGAGCCGTGATCCCTGCCCCGAAGGAATTCAAAGATATGTGGTGAAACATCCATTGAAAATGCCTTAGAAAGGAAAATGCTAATGGTGGACCTGGTGCTTCAGAGGTTAAGCTTGAAAAAGCCCTTGCCTAGAAGGAAAGACTTGAGAGTCTCAGAGAAATACCCGGGTAGAATTACAGGACTGAGAGGGGTGCTCAAGGTTGGAGACACTTTCTGCTGAGATCACATTCCTTGCCTCTGTGTGGTCAGCGCAAGCCTTTTTCAGCACCACAGAAAATCTGCCTGTTCCTAAATTGCTCCTCACAACTCAAATGTCAGTTTAGGATCATATTCTGAGAGACAGCAAGTTCTAGCACCCTGAACCCCTTTACACCTACTTGGTGTGCTGTACTATTTTTTTCCTTTAATACCAAATAGTCTAAACTTGGAAGCTAGAAATATGGTTCCCATCCCATAATTAATTGGTTAGTAATGTGACCTGGAACAAGTCCCTTTTTCTCATTTGCATCTGTGAACTGGAGAATCTGTTACAGGAAGGCACACAACAAATGTGTTGATCTGAAATCCCCTAACTCCTTTATTATTTATAAAAACATTTAAAATGGAAAAATCTCTACAGATAGCATTCTCTAACCTAGGAGTACATCAAAATCACTGGGGAAGATTGCCTTTCTTTGTTAAGGTGTAACTTAACACAGCTATTTGGTTTTGGTCACCTTTTCTTTAAGATAGAACTTACATGCAATAAAATACACAGATCTTAAGTGCACCGTCAATATATATTGACAAATATATGTACCCATATAACTATCACTCCAGCCTAGACATAGCATTGCCATTACTCCAGAAGTTTCCCTTGTGGCTCCTTCCCGGTTAACCACCCTACCCCACCCCTAACACTCACAGTCAAACACTCTTTAATTTCTGTCACCATCTAAATGGAATCAAATGTATATATTCCTTAATATGTGGCTTCTTTCACTCATAATGTCTTTGAAAATCAGTAATTCTTTCTTTTTTATTGTTAGTAGCATTCCATTGGGTGAATATACCTGCTATGGACTGAATTGTGTCTCTCAAAGTTCATATGTTGAAATGCTAACACCCAATGTGATAGTATTTGGAGAAAGGGTCTTTAGGAGGTAATTCAGGTTAAATGAGGTCAGAAAGGTGGAGTCCTCATCTAATAAGACTGGTGTCCTTATAAGAAGAGGAAGAAAGAGATCTCTCTCTCTCTCTGAGTGCAAGCACCAAGGAAAGGCCATGTGAGGATAAAGTCAGAATGCAGCTGTTTACAAGCCAGGATTTAATGACCAGGACTTAATTGGTCAGAACCTTGATTTTGGATTTCCCAGCCTCCCAAACTGTGGGAAATACATTTCTGTTGTTTAAGTCACCCAGTCTATGGTATTTTGTTATTTGGAAAAATTTCAGCAACTACTTATTCAAATATATTTCTGTCTCATTCTTTCCTCACCTTTCAGGACTCCAATTATATGTATGTTAGACCTCTTGATATTTTCTCACAGGTTATTGACAGTTCTTTTTTTAAATCTTACTCTGTTTCAGCTTGAAAAATTTTCTATTGACCTATCTTGAAGTTTCCTAATTCTTAAGTAATATCCAAACTTCTATTAGCATGCTCAATGAATTTATTTATTATATATATATGTATTATATATATATATATATATATATATAGTTTTTCAGCTGAAGAATTTCCATTTGGTTCTTTTTTAATAGTTTTCTTTTCTTTCCTAGTTTACCCTACCTATCATCCTTAATGTCTGTATTCCTTGTAAATTCTTTAATACATTCATAAGATTTTAAGGGTTTGTTAACTAATTCTTAAAACAGTCATCAATGTGTCTGCTTCTATTTGCTATGTTTTCTCTTGATTTTAGTTCACACTTTCCTCCCTCCATCCTTTCCTCCTTACTGCATTCTGAACATTATGTAAAACAAAATTTTGGAGACCAAATATCATATTATTCTGTATTGCTTATTTCTCTTTTCTCTGTATGGTAGTTTTATCGTGGTTACAGTAAGGTAAAGTATTAATAGTTTAGATTTCTCCTACAGTCAATTTAGGTGTGGCTGGGTCACAACTTTAATTAGATTGACTTTATCTGTGATTAACATAACACCCTGAATTGATTTAAGTTTGTAATTTCCATCTGGCTATTTGTACATTAGAATTTTATTAAAAGACATGACTGTCTCTGTATACTTGAAAAGAAATAAGTTCCCCAAATTCTTCTGATCACAGTTTCAGTCAGAACAAGAACATCAACCACAGTGTAAACATACTGAATATCCACCATGTTATAGACATTAATTATGTCCTGGGAATGCAAAAAGCTATATGGACATTCTTTGCCTTAAAGGACATTTAAAATCTTATTGTAGAAATAGGCCAGATACCTAAAAACTCACATAATGTGGTAAAAATAGATTTTGCAATATGCTGAATGAGTGATACTAGCAATGACTATAGCTCTATGAAAGAAATATTCACAAAGAGCTCTGGTGATTAGAAGAGACTACATGTGGGAGATAAGACTTTAAATGGATCCAAAAGAAAGTATAGTGTAATTGAGGCAGGGTCAGGGATGAGAGAGAGGATGCCATGAACAAAACATGGTGCATATTTAAGAAGAGGAGAGAAGATTATAAAGTTTGGAAAATGTCATATTTTGGAGGATCTAAGAGTTTGGTTTTACATGGGCATTAAAGTAAAGCCAAAGACCAGTTGTTAATGTGGTAGCCATATAATCAGAACCATACTTTGAAATAATCGCTCTTACAGAAAACTGAATAGTGGCAATACCTATTTGCCCTCACACACTTTTTTTTTTTTTTTTTTTTGGCTTTTCCCTGCTCTGTATCATAGTAGGGCTAATCCCACAGGCTGGATTTGGCATGTAAGGTTGGAGAACGGATGTAAAAGAAAGCCAGAATTTTTTCCCCTTTCTTTTTCTTAGACTTCTCCCACAACAGCTGGATCACTTCCTTGGCATCTCTTCTTACCTCCCCCTAGGTGATCCTGGCCTCTGAGTCGTGATAGCACTGCTCTCCCTTTTTCTCTCAGGTTGGGGACCTTAGTAGCTTCCTGATATCACCAATCACTGAGTTACTTCACTGAGCCTTAGTAAATGTCTCATCCTCTTCAGTTGCTGCTTTAATGAAGTACCTGCATTAAATTCCTTCTATTTTATTTTTTTTTTAAAGATTTTATTTTTTTAAGTAGTCTCTATACACAATGTGGGGCTTGAACTCACAACCCTGAGATCAAGAGTCACATGCTCCACTGACTAAGCCAGCCAATCACCCTCTTTCTATTTTAATATAGCCATAGTGGTTTGTTTTCCTGATTGGATCTGGTTAGATCTGGGGATATGATTATAAGTAACTTATACTTTATGTATAAGTTAAAAACTTCAGAGTTTTGAAAATTTTAAGACATACTACTTTGCAATAAGAATAAAGCAAAATTTTCAGGCTCCCTGCTCAGCAGGAAACCTGCTTCTCCCTCTCCCACTCTCTCTGCTTGTGTTCCCTCTCTAGCTGTCTCTCTCTGTGTCAAACAAATAAAATCTTTAAAAAAAAAAACACAAAAATTTTTAAGAAAATTAACATAAATGCAGTGTATAAAGTGAATTGACTATAGTAACTTAACACAATTTAAATAAAAATAAAGTGAATTGTGAAATTAGGAGATATTAGATAGAACTTATATAAGCCCTATATATAAATAGTTCTATAAGTTGTAATTGAAGAGAAAATGATAATGCATGGCTATACCAAGGACAGAAGGAGCCACGAGAGCAGTGATTCCAAACCAGGGGAGGGTGTAAGAACTACTTGGGGAGTTTTTAAAAAAAATACACATGTTGGGTATCACCCCAGACCAACTGAATCAAATATCTGAGGCTGGGTTCAGCCATGACTACTTTGAAATGACTTTGTGAATGGTGTTTGTCCACTCCATCCTTATCCGTTATCCTCCCATTAGCACAGAGAAGCTTTAGACATGAGGGAACCACTAGGGAGAAGAGCAGGTTCAGTAGGAGAAAG